GAGGAGTGGCTGGTGGGTTTGAACCACCAGCCTTCTGGTTAGCAGTCAAATGCCTTAGGCTACTCTCCATTCAAGAGCAAATTTCAGAGTCTGTTCTGACATCCATTTTGGTCTTTTCTTCCTTTCCTGTCATTTTAATGACCTTTTGCATTCTTCATGTATGATGTTCTTGATGTCATCCCGCAGCTCCTCTGGTCTTCAGCCATTGGTGTGCAATGTATCATAGCTATTTCAGATGGTCTTTAAATTCAGGAGGGATATACTGAAGGTTATATTTTGGCTCTTATGGATTTGTGTTAATTTTCTTCAGCTTCAAATTGAACTTGCATATGGGAAATTCATGGTCTGTTCCAAAGTTAGCCCCTGCCCTTGTTTTGATTGATAATATTGAGCTTCTTCATTGTCTATTTCCAGAGATGCAGTCAATTTGATTCCTGTGTATTCCATCTGGTTAGGTCCACATGTATAGTTGCTGTTTATGTTTTTGAAAAAAGGTATTTGCAATGAATAAGTCGTTGGTCTTACAAAATTCTATCATGCTATCGCTGGTGTCATTTTCAGATCTACCTGAAATCAGCCCTTTTTCCACATCCTCTTCTGAATCCAGTTTGAATTTCCAGCAGCTCTCTGTCAGTGTACTGCTGTGACCATTTTTGAATTATCTTTAGCAAACTTTACTTACATGTGATATTAAAGATTTTGTTTGATAATGTCCACATCCTGTTGGATCACCTTTCTTTGTAATGGCCACAGATATGGATCTTTTCTAGTCAGTTGGCCAGGTTGCTGTTTTCCAAATTACTTGGCATAGACCAGTAGGTGGCATTTGTGAAAATTTGTTGTCTTAGGGAAAACTGTAGGGAAATAACAGGACAGGGGTATACAGCTAGAACATAGCTGGTAATGGTGAAATTGTGTCTCAGGTTTGGGAATCACCTACCAAAGACTGGAAGAAACATGAGCAAAGGGGATAGTGTTGAAGACAGCTAACATTTATTGAAGTTTTAACTGGGAATCATTTCCTCCTCTGTAGCACATGCTAGGAAAGGTCTGGGTTATACCTTCTGTACTTTGATAAAGAGGAGGACTGAGCCAAGGGCACAGTAATGGCTCTGTCCTTCACCATGACTGGTCATCCTACCAGGAAACAGTAGGTTCCTGCTGGGGCCTTATGTGGCCATTCCACTTGGAGGGCAGCAGGGTCACTCCGTCTGCTGGAGAAATAATTGCAAACTGCATGCAGGTGGATGAAAGCTGTTTGCTGAGGCCCCAGTTTTTGCAGTCTCTTTCCTATATGTGGTTCTGAGCTCTGCTAAACAAGTGATGCTTTTGCCCTCTGACTGGGGACTGTTCCTTAGTTGGGGAAATAGATGGCCCCGATGGTGAGAGGATCAGCAGTGAAGGAGGTGTAGGCTGTTCCTGGGGGTTGGGGAGGCTCTTTGTTCAGCTTGGTAGTATATGGCTTATTGCAGAATATTTTACCCTTAAGATTTGAAAGAACAGGCCAAGAAAGAAATTTGTTAAAAGGAAGAAGTTAGAGGCCTGACCAAATGCTAGCTATTGGGTAGTAGGTTAGGGTCAGGGCTCAACCTGGAGTCCAGGTTTGGAGTTCAGGATCGGGGTTCAGCCTGAAGTCCAGGGTTGAGAAACAGCATGTTGTCCAAGGTTGGGGATCAGCCTGGAGTACAGGGTCAGGGTTCAGCCTGGGGCAGGATGCAGCTTACGCCTATGTACACAAGTACACAAACCCCAATGCCTCTTCCTCACGTTATGTCAGTGGAAGCCCAGGCAGGGACAGGCACTTCCATGGCAGGCTGCTGCATCCCTGATCTGTCTGGCCTCACAGACAGGGGCTACCTTGTCTGCTCTTTCAAAAGCACTTTGTTGCTTGGGCTCCAGATTTTCTGGAGATAGGTGTCCACCGTTCTGGCTCCTACAATAGTTGAGAAGGATGGGTCCCCAGTTCAGCAATAACCTAAGGCTCAGTTTCTCCTCCCCTAGCGTCCCCCCACCCCAGCCATGCTTCCTCCTGCCTGGACCAGAGCCAGAGGCAAGGATAGTGTGTCCTGCCTGTATGATGCTCAATGAGAAGGGATGCTCCTTTCTTCCCTCCCATCTGTCATTCTAGCATTTCATCCTGCCATTCCCAGAGGGCAGGAGAAAGTACTTTATATCAATTTAATAATACTTGCTAGTAAGACTAGATGCCTGAATTTTGAATATGAAGTGTGGTTTTGTGAGAAATTGTTTATTGCCATGTTGCCAGTGGCAGGAAGGAGCCAATGAAGGTTTTTAAGCAGGAAAGGGGCATGGCCTGATCTCTGCTGTGCAGAGAGTAAGGCTAGGGAAGGGAACTCTGGTGCCCTCAGAGAAAGGAGAGTCCTGCTTTAGGTTGCTTTATGTCCTTATAATGTCTAGCTCTTGCCCCATCCCTGTGCACTTCTGCCCATCTAGTCCAACCACACTGGACTCTTTAGTTCTTTGAGTGTGCCAAGCACTTAGCTGCCTCAGTGCTCTTACACATTCTACTTTCTCTGTCTGGACCACTTCCCTGTGCTGTCACAAGGCTGGCTCTTCTTCCTCCTCCTGGTGTCAGCGTCAGAGAAGCTGACCTATCTAAGGGTTTTTCTTCTCCCTTAATATTCTCTATGAAAGCACTTTGTTCATCTGTCACTTACCATGGTTGTTATCAATAGCTGCCATCGGGTTGGCTCCAACTCATGGCAACCCTGTGTACAACTTCATGAAACACTGCCCAGTCATGTACCATCCTCATAATTATTGTTATGCTTGATCCCATTGTTTCAGCCAGTGTGTCTATCTACCTCATTGAGGGTCTTCCTCTTTTTCATTGATGCTGTACCTTACTAAGCATGATATCCTTCTCCAGAGACTGGTCCCTCCTGACAGTATGATCATTGTACGAGAGGGAAAGTCTTGCCATCCTTGCTTCTAAGGAGCATTCTGGCTGTACTTCACCCAAGACAGATTTGTTTTGTTCATCTGTCAGTTCATGGTATATTCAATTCTCCAACACCATAATTCAAATACATCAACTCTTCTATGGTCTTCCTTATTCATTGTCCACCTTTCACATACATATAACACAATTGAAAATACCGTGGGTTGGGTCAGGCCCACCTTAGTCTTCAAAGTGACATCTTTAACACTTTAAAGAGGTCTTTTGCAACAGAATTGGCTAATGCAATACGTCATTTGATTTGTTGCCTGCTGCTTCTGTGAAGATAGAAGTTGTCAAAGACTTCATATTTGGTTCTGCAATCAACACCAATGGAAGCAACAGTCAGGATATCAGATGTTGTATAGCATTGGGCAAATCTGCTACAAAGAACCTCTTTCAAGTGCTGAAGAGCAAAGATGTTTCCTTGAAGACTAAGGTACACTTGACACAAGCCAGGGTATTTTCAGTTGCCTCATATGCATGTGAGAGCTGGACAATGAATAAGGAAGACCGAAGAAGAGTTGATGCTTTTGAGTTGTGGTGTTAGTGAAGAATGCTGAAAGTACCATGGACTGCTAAAAGAACTAACAAATCTGTTCTGGAAGAAGTGCAGCTGGAATGCTTCTTGGAAGCAAGAATGCCCAAACTTCATGTCACCTACTTTGGTCATGTTGTCAGAAGAGAGCATTCTCTGGAGAAGGATGTCATGCTTGGCAAAGTGGAGGGACAGCGAAAAAAGGGAAGGCTCTCAATGAGATGGACTGACACACAGGCTGCAATGATGGGCTCAGGCATAGCAAAGATTGTGGAGCTGGCACAGCACCAGACAGTGTTTCGTTCTGCTGTACATGAGGTCACTGTGAGTCAGAGATGACTCGATGGCACCTAACAACAACAGCTTCAATGGGTGTTGATTGTGGATCCAAGTAACATGAAATCTTTGACAACTTCAGTCTTTTCTCCATTTATTATGATGTTGCTGATTGGTTTTCACAGGGAGTGGTCATTTATTAGTTCACTTTTTAAGGACAAGGACCATATCTGCTTTATTCACTGGTGTTTACCTAGTACCTAAGCCACTCCTCGGAAGGAAGGTTGGGCAATCCTACTTCCGTAGTGATACTGCCTCGGAAACCCAAGGAGGGGTCGCTATGAGTCGGGGCCGACTCGACGGCAAATAATAACAACAACAACAACCCCTGCCTGGCATAAAGTGTGAGTCAGAATTAATGGAAATGTCTTTGTAGTAATCGCAAGTACTTGAATATGAGATTGTTATCACATCTGCGTAAGCTTTCTAAGCATTGATCCTCACAACCCCTGTCAAGGATCATTGTCCCCATTTAGTCAAGGTAGAAACTAGAATGCTAAGAACTGTGTCTTGTCCTTGATCTAGCTGATGGCAAGACTAGAGCTAGGGGCTGTATGCTCGTCCTGGGCTCTGTCTACCACATCATGGCATCCCTATTCAAAGCCAGAGACCATAGCCATTTTGAGAACTGACACTGCTTCCTGACTCTATCTGTCCAAATGCCTAAGCCAGTCAAACAGCAAACGGTTGGCCTTGAGCATCTCTTGCTCACATAGAAAACTATTTAATGTTTCTCTAGGTCCCTGCGTGGCATGAATAGTTTTCACTCAACTACTAACATCTAGGTTAGTGATTTGAACCCACTGGATGGAAGCATGGGAGAAAGTTCCAGCAACCTACTTCCATAAAGATCACAGCCAAGAAAACCCTGTGGAGCACAGTTCTGCTTTGTAACACACAGGGTCTCCACAAGTCAGAATTGACTTGATGGCAGTGGGTTTGAGTTTCATCATCACAGCCTGACTTGTATCTAACAGGGAGACTGGTGTTTCTTCCTTCAAGCCCAGAGTTTGTGCCTGGGTCTTACTCATTTCTGAGTCCCTGCAGAAGGTACAGAAACTTGTACCCAGGGCACGGCTCATGTCATCACTCCAAAGCTGGCTTATTTCCTTTGCCTTTGCTGGACAGGGAGCTCTAATTCTCTCTCTCTCTCCTTTATGACCCCAGTGCCTACACCGAGCCCTACAAGGTCTGTCCCATCTCAGCAGCGGCCCCGAAAGAGGACCTCACATCGGATGAAGAGCAGGGAAGCTCGGAGACGGAGGAGAGTGCTCTGAGAGAGCCCAGCCTCACCCCCAAGGTAGGGCACCCCTCAGGGGAGGGGTGGGTAGGATGTGGGAGTCAAAGATGAGAGGACGGATGGAGAAGGGGGAGTCAAGGATCATTCCACCTCCTTTTGATGTGGAGGGAACTGTTTGCAAGTACCTGGCCCTGAGCTGGACACCGAGGCTGAGTCACTCAGCAGCTGGGGCTGCAGCTTTTAGAAGGTGGCAGACCCAGAGTCCTGCCCCAGTGAGGCAGAACTTACATCCTCTTGGGCCTGAGAACATTGGGGACTTCCAAGAGCCCTTGTGGGTGAAGTGGAACAGAGTTGCCTAATTTAAATCAGACCTAGATTCTAATGACCTCAGACTACCAGGCCTCAGTGTCCTCACATGTAAAGTGGGGATCATTGTGATGGTGAGATCAGTTAAGGGATACAAAGGAGCTTCTGAAAACAGAGTTTTAGAATGAAAATTGGTTTCCCCCTTACCTTGTGGCAATGATAAGAGAGGATGGGCTGATGGAAGAGGTGTTATTTGTCTGGGATTGTGAATCTCAAGTCACAGTGAAGACCCTAATGTTCTTATGGTCATTAGTGCATGGCACACTCTTTCACCCTTCTGGGGGGGCAGGAAGAGAGAGATTATGTGAATAAAGGGAAATAATCACAACATAATGACAGTGGTGATGATGCATGCTCTCTCGGGTGCTCATGATGAATGTGAGCCTTACCTCCATTACTGACATCATATCACAGCATCACACAGTCCTTCTTTGAGCAGGAATTATTTCCCACAATTTACATTTGCAGAACTGGTCAGAGAGGCGAAGAACCTTTTGAGAGTCACATGACTGGCATGTGTTGTCACCCAGAAAATGTTACTGGTTGAGAAGGTTGAGACCACCTCAAACTCTCCTATCCCACTTTTGAGGCTTTTCCCTGGACTTTGGACAAGTAGCTGCAGAGGCTGGGACCACAACCTCCTGAGGAAACTAACATCCCTCCAAGCACCTTATCCTGACTCTGCCTTCCCACTGCTGATCACCTTCTATTTCCAATGATTATAGAAGATTATTACATGTGGAAGTACTTGTCAGAAGTGCCTGACACCTGCTAAGCATTTGATAAGTGGCGATGTCCTTCATTTTGTTTTCATGTACTTGATTTCTTTTAAAAATTCATTTGTGTTTCTGGATGTTGATGTTGCTGTTATGTGCCGTTGAGTCAGACCCGACTCATAGCAACCCCTCCTTGGGTTTCCGAGGCAGTATCACTATGGAAGTAGATTGCTCAACCTTCCTTCCGAGGAGTGGCTGGTGGGTTTGAACTGCCAGCTTTCTGGCTAGCAGTCAAGTGCCTTAGACACTACTCTACCAGAGCTCTGGATAATGTTTCCATTAAGTAATGTACCAAGTGCTAGGGGAACAGTTAATAGGGCTCCTCCCTCTTCTCACATCAGCCTCACTTCTTCTCCTTTCCCTCCTCTCAGTTCTTTCTCCCTCTGTCTTCTTCAGCCCTCTCCTTTCCCTTTCACTCATATCCTACTTGGCTTTCCCTAGATTCAGTCAGCACCTGCCATCTGCTGGCACCATCCCAAGTCCTTCCACATTTGTCTTCTCTTTTATTCCTTACAATGACTTCCATGTGGTGCCATTATCCTTGTTTTACAGTTGAGGACACTGAACTTCCAAGTGGTTAAGGAACCCATCCAACATCACATTGCTAGCTGGTGATGGGGTTGGGACTCAAAAATGGGTGTGGCAGCTCCAAGTCCCGGGCTAGTTGAAGTACTCAGGTGGCCTTCTCTTATATCTCCTCTCCTTCCCCTCTCCCAAGGAATTATAGGTTCCTGTGAGAGAAAGAGAGGGAAGCCTTGAGTTAGTGGGGCCCACTTAGAGCTAATTTTGTTTTTTTCTGGATATCCCTGGAGGAATCCCTGGGTGGTGCAGATGGTTGACTTGGCTGCCAGCTGAAAGGATGGAGGTTCAAGTCTGCCCAGAGGTGCCTCAGAATAAAGGCCTGGTGATCTGCTTCCAAAAGATCTAACCATTATAAACCCTACAGAGAATAGTTCTACTCTGACACACATTGGATCGCCCTAAGTTGGAGTTAACTTGATGCCAGTGGTGGTGGTGGGCATCCTTGGAATCTGGAGTCTGGGAGCACAAAGAGATCATTGTCATCAGAGATTTGGCCCCCAGTCTGAAGCTGGGAATTGGCTCTGATCACCAGCCCTGGAAGAGTTTAAGGACTCATGGAGCAGTAGTGCCTCCCATATGTGACTTGGGCACCTTGGTGATCCCTACTCCTCAATGGTTACCCATTACAGTGTCCCAGTTCTCTGCTTAAAACCTTCCTCTGGGACCACCCATGTCTCCTCTTCTGACTGTATTACCCCTGGCACATTATGGGGTCTGAGTTTTTCCATTTCTGAAATGGGAGCTTTACTAGTAACACTGGGCTGTGGGAGGATTGGATGAAAACAGATGTGGGAATGCTGGGCAAATAGTAGTGGCATAATAATTTTCTGTTGTTTGTGAATCTGAGAAGCAGAGGGATGGGGAGTAGGAGAAGAGAGGCTGTGGCCTGTTCAAGACAAGTCTGAAGACATCAAGTCCTAGTGGCCATCTGGGTCAACTTCCCAGCTTTCTGGTCTCCAGTCCACTGCTTGGAAACTCCTGGAAATAGAGAACTTTCAAGAGTCAGGTAGTGTAGAGAATGAAAGGCTCAAGCCCAGCTCAGCCACTTGCTAGCTATGTGACTTGGGTAATTTACTCAACTTCTCTGTTCCTCAGTTTCCCATCTGTAAAATTGGGGTAACAGGAATAGTGCTTACTCTAAAATTGAGAGGAGAGTAATGAGTCTAAGAAGACTTAGAACAGTGCTCAACATAATGAAAGAACACACAAAGCTCAGTGCTTTTGGATGAGACCGTGGAAAAGCAGCTTGTCCAGAGTCAAATGGTATGTGGCAGTCACAATGTCAGGGTTCATGAAATTGCAGTGGCACCTTGGACAGGGTTGTCCCTTGTGTTCCTGCTAGATCAGTCAGGCAGAGTTAGTGGCTGCCAGGGGAGGGGTCTGTGTAGGGAGCCTGGGTTGGAAACAGGAGCATGTTGTGATTCTAAGACCAGAGAGGGACGCTTATATCTCTGGTTTCCTGGCTGGTCACTTCACTCTCTGAGCCTCAACCTTCTCATCTTCAGGATGGGGCTGAGCATCCCTGCCTTCTGCCTTCTCACCCATCTTTATGAAGTGTGCTTGATATACCAATGTTGAAATCACCTTTAAAAATTAAATTTTAATTGCATAAGTCATGCACTACTGGAGTCTCCTTGTAAAGTAGCCAACCATTATAAACCACTTGCCATTGTGTTAACTCCAACTCATGGTGACCCCATGTGTGTTAGAGTAGAACTGTGTTCCATAGGGTCTTCAGTGGCTGGTTTTTTGGATGTAGACACCAGGCTTTTCTTTTGAGGCAGCTATGGGTGAGCTTAAGGCCCCAACCTTTCAGGTAGTAGCTGAGGATGTTAGCTGATTAAAGCATTACAGATAAGGGCTAATGTCACCTTGGACATTGATTCTTAATCCCAGGGCCCTACAAAGGAAGCCATAGTATATATTTTGGTGTGTATCCTTCCAGAACTTTGTCTCTGTAGTCATCATACATATATAATTATGAGTGCAAAAGAGATAATATTGTTTGTGGAATAGCTATTTTTACATAAATCTTATCAAACTGTACAAGTCATGGAGTAACTTGATTGGGTCCTGTCAGTAGTGTCTTAGAGATTTTCTTATGTTACCATGTGCCATTGAGTCAATTCTAACTCATAGCGACCCTACAAGACAGAGTAGAACTGCCTCCAGAAATGTTTTCTATTCTATAAATCTTTACAGGAGCAGATGACCAGGTCTTTTCTCCTATAGAGACATTGCTGGATTCAAACTGCCAACCTTTCCATTAACGTCTGAGTGCTTAGTCATTGTGCCATGGGGATCCTTGTTAATACACAGAGGTCTGATTTTTTTTTTTAAATCTTTTTTACTGCTGTATGGTACTCAATTTTATGAATGTGCTATAGTTTATTTTAAGGTCCATAGGAGCTCTGGTAGCATAGTGGCAAAAGCACTTGACTGCTAACCAGAAGGCTGGTGGTTCAAACCCACCAGCCACTCCTCGGAAGGAAGGTTGGGCAATCCTACTTCCGTAGTGATACTGCCTCAGAAACCCAAGGAGGGGTCGCTATGAGTCGGGGCCGACTCGACGGCACATAACAACAACAACAACAGGTGGCCTAAATGGTTTACATGCCACTTCTAACCAAAAGGCTGGTGGTTCACACCCACCCAGCAGTATTACAGAAGAAAGTGTATGAAGATTACAGTCAAAAATACCCTGTGGAGAAGTGCTGCTCTGTAGCACATGCAGTTACCATGAGTCAGAATCAACACAATGTCAATAGCTTTGGTGGAATTTTTTTTTTTTTTAATAGTTTATTTAGCCATCTCCTGCCTAGGGACGTTACAGTGTTTCTCATTTTTTTGCTCTGCCAATAACATTGCAGGTGACTTGTTCACACTTCCTTATACTACATATGTGCAAGATTTTCTCTAAGGTCCATACCAAGAATTAGTTTGGTAGATCAAAGAGCAAGCGTATTTGTAATGCTAGTATCTGCAGCTAAATTGACCTCCTGAGAGGCAGGTACTTGCATTCCCTGGCAACACTCTCGGGGTATAAGAGTTCCAGAATTTATTGAGCATGGGTGCAGGGGCAAAAGGAGATTTCAACATGGAGTGATCTTTCCCAACTCCTTTTTGCAGTAGAATTTTTGATGGTGTGGGGAGAAGGATCATTTGCTCTTTATTCTTTCTGCTTCCACTCTTATTTGAAAATCCTTTCTCCTGAAGGCAGTGACCCCTTCCTCTCTGCCCTAGTCACACCATATGAGGAATGAAGCAAGTGTCCAACCACCCCAACAGAACATACCTAGCCAAGTGTGAGGAGTTAGTGGAATTCCCCCTTGGGGC